TTTTTTATATAATATATAATTTATTATATATTATATAATTTTTTATATATTATATAAAAAATTATATATTATATAAAATATTATATCTGTCTCTTATACACATCTAGATGTGTATAAGAGACAGATATAATATATAATTAATTCCAATTCTTTATTGTTTCTAATGTTTGTATGTCTGCTATAATAAACTATATACATTACACAACATAAATATCAACCGACATAAATAAATCTACAAAAGCATTGCATAATTTAAAATGACGAGTGACTAAAACAACATAAGCGAATAACTTCTCGTCTTCGTCTACGTTTATTACTGTATGCTTTTACTCTACCGTACGATAATTACAGTACCTCATCAATTGTCTGTCTAAAATGTTACTAGACGTTTAACTATCTCTGTTTTCCAGTTTTATGAACCGCAAAATGTAACTCTGAGGATAAATGATAGTAATTAATAATAATAATAATAAATAACTAGAACAATAACACCCACAGTTATAATAATAATAATAATAATAATTCTGGATTTATTTAGCGCCTCACGTTGACACAACCTCGAGGCGCTTAACAACAACAGAGAAGAATAATAACAATAACGGTGATAACGGTGATAATTATAACGATAACGATAAAGAACTTTCAGAATGTAAACACAATGCACGAAATCAATATTATAGAGATTGAGGAGACATAAAACGGCCCAAGTTATACATTGGAAGCTGGATAAGCGGTTTAGTTCTTCTACACCAGGTGAAGTGGTGGTGCGAACAATCTCCGGAGAAAGTTCTTGAAAATGACGGGATGAAAGCACTCTGGCACTGTTCAGACTGACCCGATTAACGAGACATTAATAAGATTAACAAGAATGAATAATTAGATACCTATTTCGACACCTGGATTGTAGAAAAAGCGGATGAGAAGATTGCGAAATATCAAGATCATCTTTATCATCATCTTCCGTTACTGTGCATAACCTCGGTTGAGTATACCCGCACAATGTTTGTACAGAACACATATATGTCGCGGCCAAAAGGAAAGAAAAGTAAATAGATAAATAGAAACAAAAATAAAGATAAAAGTAAAGTAAAGAACACAGAAATGCAAAAAACAAAAAAAAAGTGGTCATATTTTCTCGGGAAAACGCGGCAATAACATTTGTATTTGAAGTGATAAAAATAAATTTTTAGAAGCCAATGGCACTACGGCACCGTGCGCTCGGCTTGTTTGCAACCTTTAAAGAATTTTTACGCTTAAAATTAATTTAAGGGACCAATCGTATGCGACGGTCAGTTTTTCTTTTGTCGTAATATATCACGACCGAATCACAATATATCAGATTATGTTACTTTATTGTGTACAGTTTATTGAGGGTGGTGGTGGTCAAGAGTGGACAGGTTAACATATCTCAGACCAGTAGACACAACTAAGCTGAAAGTGAAACAGTCGTATTTGCTGGGAAAAGTGGAAGCGGTTTGGTGCAGCGGTAACGGTTTAGTTTTCCAACCTCGAGGTCGGGATTGCAATCCCTCGCTGTTCATTTCGCTTGTGTCCTTGAGTAATGGCACTTTATCTGCATTGCTTCTCTCCACCCAGGTGTATGGATACCTGGTGGGGTTGCCCTGAGACTCAAATTATGGCTGCAGTGGTAATAGCATAGAGCAAAGAAACAGTTTTTTTTGCTCTATAGTAATAGCGAGGGTATTGTTGAGAGTCCTTACCATTACGAATTTTTGGTTTGTCTACCTCACATAATGTTATAAGTTGAGGGGGAAAATTGTTCATGCATTTCACGGTAATTTTGTGTTTAACAGCTGTAGCTAGTTTGAAACGCTGTGGAAAACGCAAATTGCGTTAACATAAAAGTTTAATAATTACCCGATTATTAATATTAAAAATACGTGAAATGACGTCATCTTTTAATATGAACATCTTTTAGTGGACAAAGTTTGAAGAAGACCTGAGCACGGAAAGTGGCCAAATTGCCGGACAGAAACACCTTGTGCAAAAGCATAGGAAAATGGGATAAGAACAAAACAATGGTTTTTCCTCTGATGTTGGAAAGCCAATAAAGAATAATGTTCTCTTAACATACACAGAAACCTGGGCCCTGTTACCTTTTTTGTTTATTTGTTAGGCCCAATTTTATTTATATAACGCACTTCTTTTAGGTTACGAAGCGCTTTGTTTTTCATACTGACGCAGTAGCAGGTTACCCCACCGAATACTCATGTATATCATCCTGGGTGGAGAGAAGCAACGCATATAAATTGCCTTACTCAAGTACATAAGTGAAGTGCACAGCGAAGGATTGAAATCCCGACCTCGAGGTTGGGAAACCAAAACGTTCCCACTAGCTTCACCAAACCGCTCTGTTTTTACATCATACCATGGAGGAAATAGTTTAGATTTAGAAAGACATCGAACTGACAGAAAATCTATAAATAGGCCTATACTTAAACACTAAATACAGAATAGAGATCAGTGGCGAGGTATGGGCAGTGCAACCAGCTGCAGGTAGGCCTTTAGCAATATAATTTTATATAATTCCTACTTAAATTTAGGACACATCAAAAATATTTTGAGGCCATAATTATTGATTATGTTCAATACAATTTACCTATTACGTGCCAACAAACACCGCAAGAACTGGAATGACTTTTTAACATTTTTACAAAAAAACAAGACATGAACAGCTTCGTGTTTTTTAATTCTTTCAATGCTATTTTTATTTCGTTTAGTTGTTTGCGATGATGCGCAAAAAGTATATTTTAAAAGCATTTTATAAAGCAATTGAAATGTCGGCACGCAAGTTTTTGTTTGATATTTTAAAGTTTGTTCAACTATATTGTTCACGTTTTAGGATCATGTAGGTGATCATGCTTCATGAATACGTTTCAGATTCGCTTGACTGCAAGTAGGTAAATGATTGTTCTTTATTGTCAACGTTATAACCTTATGAAACGCCAATGGGCCAAAAAACATAAGAGTGACACATAGGCCTAATGTTACCACACCGTACCTGCATGAGATTTCTATTCCTCGAAACATGTATCGTTGTATTTCTCGCGATAGTATTCGCAACTAAACTGTTTTTGGTCCTCTATCGATGCCATGAAATATTCCACAGCTTTCGTGTGATCACACTTAACACTATACCACGCTATTTATAAACAAAAAGAATAATGATGGTTATAGTAATCATGATAATGTGAATGATAGTGATGATGATGATGATGGTGGTGATGACGATAATGACGACGACGGCGACGACGATGATAATGACAATAACATTATTATTATTACCGCTAACGCTATTACTACTACTGCTGCTGCTACTGCTACTGCTACTGCTGCTGCTGCTGCTACTGCTACTGCTGCTGCTGCTGCTGCTACTGCTACTGCTGCTGCTGCTGCTGCTACTGCTACTGCTGCTGCTTCTGCTACTGCTGCTGCTGCTGCTGCTACTGCTGCTGCTTCTGCTACTGCTACTGCTGCTGCTGGACCCGCCCCGGCAACTTGTCGCTCGGTTAAAACCAGGATAAGAATCATCATCATCTTCGTCGTCATCATCACCATCACCATCACCACCACCATCACCACCACCATCATCGTCATCATCATCATCATCATCATCATCATCATCATCATCATCATCATCATCATCATCATCATCATCATCATCATTATTATTACTGGATCTACCCCGGCAACTCGTCACTCGATTGGTAAAACCAGGATAAGAATAATAAAGTCCAGCGTACACATTTGGCTCGTGTGCACCTCAAAAGACATTGATCTTTCGGAAGAGTAGGGGATAAATTATATGGATACTAACCACATCCAGGTTGATCTTCTCCACCACTTGGATAATAGTCTACGTCTCCGACTGAATGATCTATACCTAGGAAAAAATATAGACAAGGTATGGCCTACGGATTTGTAATTTTAAAACGGAACTAATGTATTGCCAAAAGACTGCGAAAAATGCAATGCATACAAATATAACAGATAACAATAATGATAATGACATCAGAATTGATATTTTACATCAAATGACATTGATAGTGATAATGAAAAAAAGAAAATCATAGGCCTAATCATAACACCGGTATTCCATCTCCCTAACATTCTAAATTCAGTTTCGAGACAAGAAAGGCTTGGGCTGGATTTGGAAAAGTATTTACCAGTAAAATCGGCGTCGGTATGAATGACATCCACGTAAACAGCATCTGTAGGATCCAGTCTTCGATAGATGTTTTCATCCTCGAATCCATATCCAGCTGGATCTAACCCTGTCGAAAAAGTTTGTCTATATAGCTGTCATATCTATTATGATATGTGTATGTATTTTAAAATGAATGGGGGACAATTACTTTTTATTAAATATATATACATACTTATATAAATAATAATAATAATAATAATAATAATAATAATAATAATAATAATAATAATAATAATAATAATAATAATAATAATAAGAATAATAAGAATAATAATCTGCATAGACAGCAAGAGGTCCCAGGTTCGAAATCCAGCTGGGGTATCATAGCCTACTTAGCAGATTTCTCTTCTTTAACGTTCAAAATGTATTTAATAGGCAGTTTTTGGCGCACGACGTTAAGCTTAACATTAACGGATGACGTCATAATTTATTCATCTTGCGTTGCGGAGTACTGTACGTTATTTTCAGGATTTTACGTGCTCGACGTACGTTTGTTATGGGTTTGCATGCGTATTTCGATTTGTTTACAAAAGGGGCGCAGCTATCCCGCTGGATGTTGGGTACTAACGTTAAAGTTAAGGTTAACGTCGTGCGTCGAAAACTCTCTATTATATATTTATTGCAACAGCAACAGGACGGTTTAGAGTTTTTTTTCTGTATTATCTATATAGTATTTTTCTGTATTATTTATAGATATATATTATATATATATATATATTTCTGTATTATATATATACATATATATATAATTATATATATGTATATATATATATTATATTATATGCTGTCTAGAATAAGGGAAAACTAAAGGACTTGTGGCAAGTCTTCACGATGTATTATCATGTTTTTTTTTATTCGAACACTGCATTTTCCCTTCTTTCATGATTTGTATATAATTTAATAGCGTTAACGGCTCTCTTGATTTATATTATATGCAATTATTTGTTTCCAGTCGTACCTATTGTGTAATAGAGTATATCTGGCGGTTATTAGAATATGTTCAACCATGAAGCCTCTGTAATCCAATGGTTGTAACGCTCGCCTTGACAATGAGAGGTCGCAGGTTCGAATCCATCAGAGGCATTTTATTACACAATTTCTTTATTCATTTACAGTATTTATAGAATAGCGCTATTTTTTGGCCATTCATTAAACGCTCTGCTACAACATGCATTATCACGTCCTTTATTCAAACAGTACCCTCCTCTCGGCAGCCATAAACACACATCTTGAGTGGGGTTGTCAGTTTTAGTCACCGACGGAGTTTAACTACTACTTAAAAAAACTATCCCCGGACACCATCCCTGTATTCCCAGGTCGCGTGTGCGTTTCTTACCAGTAATACGTCCAATTCCACCATCTAGCCTATCTCCAGCGTAGCCTGCTACATGAGCTCCTAAGCTGAATCCGATCAAATGTATGGTATCTAATGAGATGCTGTAAACACTCTTATTTTTTACAAGACACAAAAAATAATTCGAAATTAAAATTTATTTAATAATACTATATGCCTTTAAGCTTTCAACTCCAATTTAAATACACATAGAATACATAGGACAATTAAAACAGGAAAAAGACAAATCACACTGCTAAAAGAGAAATCTCTCTAATAAAACACCAGAATAAAATTATAAACATTCCTGTACGGCAGCAATGATACTCAAGGTTTTCCAACTTGTCTAATTTTACCTGTAATTTAGTTATCAGGAGATCGATTTCTGCGCCGACAATTCGTGAGTTGCCTACTGCGTCGTAGTAGTCCCAAAGATATTCTTCTGCTCCCTCTTTCCAGTCCACGATGATGACGTTATAGTTGCCTTCAATTAGGAGCAATCGTCTCATTTCTGTCACCCAATCTTCAGAGTCTTCCATAAAACCATGAATAATAACCTTGGTTGGAAGCGCTGAATTGAAGCTCGAACTCGAGACATCATTTGCTGATAAGGATTCATCTTCTGTCATATCTCGGGTTTGAAGAGTAAATTCAGTTCCAACTGCATCCCTGCTCGATGGTAATTCGTTGAATGGAAAGCCATAAGCGTCAAAACAACCGAGTTCTCCGTAACATCTACTAGACCTACATGCATAAACTATTTAACAAATACATCGTAAACCACAAAATACTTACGAAATTTGTAAATAAGAATTTTGTTTCAAAAGATACCCGTAATCTGTTTAAAGACAGATTTTAACATGGTGTACGTCACAACGTCACATGCTGTGTACGTCCTACTTTACCGTATAAAACGTCAATAATTTATGTTTATGAATGAAAATGTTGTATGTTGTGCCAAAAACAGTTCCCAATGGTTTGTATACCAATTCACGTGAACTTTTGTAAGACCTACTGCATGTATTAGTACGATAATTGGAAAGAATCACCTGGTTAAAATGGTTGATAAAGCGCTGTACCTTAAAGAGCCTGCTTGTCATATTACAGTTCATCCACACTGTTATGTATTAATTTATTGTGTAATTTAATCAATCGTATTTATCTATTATGTATTTTTGAGTATTTTTAATTGTTATTATTATTTAATTTATTCAAATGGAAAGAAAAAGTCTTACCTTCAGCATTATTCAATGAACAAATCAACACCAGGAAGTAAAGTTTTAAATCAAACATATTGCATGTGTTCGTAATGTCGTCTGAGAGGGAAGTGATAGTAGCTATTTTTAAGAAACATTCCTTTATAGACCTATAATATTTCACAATACGTTAACTAGGGAGTACATACCCGTGCCCTGAATACCTAACAAAACTCAGCCGTTTATGATGGGTGATTCCATTATTATCCACACTGTACCTAATACTGAACAATACTCAGGCAGGCCATTCCATTATTTTCTTTTATGCTCTGGGTAAAAAGAAAATTAAATTTTCGAGACCTTGATTTTGTCCTTTGACTTTTTCTTTCGAAAATTGAATGGTCGTTTTTTTTTTGTTTTTTTTTTATTATTTAATAATATAATTTACATAATTTATGTACCATTTCACTAAATTTGATGATGCATTGTGTCATAAGGAATTAGCAAATACAGTTGTTGGAACATTGAATCACAAAGAAAAGCACCAAACATGATCAAGAAATAACTCGATTTCCCACTGAAAGATATGATCTATGTTTGGACCTAAAAAGCTGTTAAATCAAGAAAATCGTAAATGACTACTGACTGAAATAAACATAAAGAAAAATCAGATGAAAAGACTTGATGAATTAACAGAAGACGAACTTGCAAAACCATGAACGCTACAGATGATCCTATAAAAATGTTCGAACACTTACATAAAAAGAAAAAGAAGCCTTTGTACCATTTGGTGGCATTACTCGTTCTTTAGATAATTTAGATATGTTAGTTACAGTATGTGATAGAGGCGGCTAAACATTTGTGAAATGGATGCGCAGTTCAAAATGACTGTGTACCGAACGAACGAAAAAGTTATGAAGAGTGTGATATTCCAATACTTACATAGAAACTAGTATATTAGATGGTTCCTGAAAAATAATTGGGGTCCATCAAATCAAAAAGGTCCGTGGGGGTCCACGAAAAATGTGGGGACCTCGAAAAATGTTGGGGTCTGCTAGATTTTTAGACCAACTTTTCTTGTTTACAACAGTGTAGTACTGTAATAATAAAATACCTTTGAGAGGCATAGACTTCGTTCACTGTAAATTGTTTTAACTGACATTACATTTAAATTCCAAAATTGTATTGGTGATCTGTTTTTTTAATTATACATACTAGAAGTGCAATCTGCCTATAGAAATAAAAATAAAAATCGTACCTTAGCCACAACCTAATTAGGTTAAGCGCTTTACGTTTCGAAATTCTAGGATCCACCACTGTTTAATGATGTTCTTTCGTGGCGAATCATCATGTATCTTTAAATCTTATTGTTGGAATATCAACAATACTTAGAAACGGGGGTCCGTGAAGACTTTTAATATGTCCCGATGGGTTCGCGAATACAATAAACTGGGATCCACTGTATTAGATTGTATTGGTAACGACATATTAACACCATTACAAAAGCCGAAGAAGGGTGTAATGAAAAATGTAAGACCTGTTAGTTTGAGTACCAGTACTGGTACCTCCATTCCTACATCCAGCCTGATATTGATAAGCACTGGTCCATGGCAATATACATATAAGCAATTGGGAAATTAAAAAAAAAATCGGTATAAACTTGATCTGTTTTTTTCTTTGTTTTTTTTTCTTATGTCTTTTATATATTTTAAACCTCTTTATAATGAATTTCTAAATATTTTGTAACTCAACATGTTTATTGTAAATTACATGCAATTTGGCAATTGGCCACCATTTAATATATATATATATATATATATATATATATATATATATACGTATATATCATACGTATAACTTAACGGATTCCAACAGTATTATTATTTCGTCTCAAAATTAACTTGCTCGTTGGTGGCGCTGTCCAGAATGAGAATAAAAGACTTGGGGCAAGTCTAACCTCAGCCCCAACCATGGTGGGGCTGAGGTAGGTGTGCACTACCTATTGGACCCACCGTCAAAAAAATTTTGGATCCGTCTCTGCTAAAAATAATGATATAATCTATAACTCTAAAAAATCTGTTTGTAGGCCAATGCTAATCAAACAAATTTTACTGAAATTAAATAGCATGATGTGCCACCAATTTACTTAGTGTTAAATGGCTGTCTCTTATACACATCTAGATGTGTATAAGAGACAGTATAAAAGGTGTTTCCTAGCCAGTGTTGCTTGGCGGGCCGCACATATAGGCTTTTAATTCATATTCGCGGGCCGCAAAGAAATCGCTGTCGGGCAATACTTTGCCCACCTGTGGTATATAGGTACCGGTATAATTTTATCATATTGTAGGCATATGTATTAAAAGTTACGAATACAATAATACATGTCATACGAAATTTAACACCCGGGATAAAAAAATAAGCATACCATATTTAGAAATTGTCTCAGTCTCACAAAAGGAACATGGAGTGAATTTGAGTTTTAAATAATAATCATGAGCATTTATAGAGTTCTTTAAAAATAAAAGTATTGAAGTGGAAAATTGAAGCCAAAAAAAAAGCGAGACTTTTCTGACGAGGAAATACATCCCCCTCATGCCAGCCGCCCTCCCACGCTGCCGCCACCAGTGGATGATGGTGATGATGATGATACTAGGGAGCTTTCAATTGCGCGACGAAGGTAAGACGTAGAACACAATTACGTCACTAAAAATCATCTGCGCATGCAAGAACGTTAAGTTCTCCTTGCCGCGTGGATTTTCGGACGCAATTTGGCCAAATCTACGTGTGCAGAATAACGTAGGACGGCCGGTAGGACGTTTACGCTTGAATCATTCCGTTCTAGCGTCGCGTCGTCGGAGATGATGACGGCACGGTATGAGTCATGTGTGGGATTAATGCGAGCAAAATGAGTCCACGGCTAGAGATAGGGCATCACCTGGTCAGAGTAAGTGAAGGGCCAAACATTATGCATTTGATGTGGTAGACCAATTTAAGTGGTTTCTTTACGTATCATAATCATCTATTGCTGTATAGCAATAGATGATTATCGTCTCGTCTCGTCTATCTTCATCCATGAATAAATGTTACCGCGCCTGGTAAACAAGAAGGCATAGTCAAAGTATTATATAGGTATTAGCATGTCATGGTATGCTATATTTCACTGTCGTTTTTCTTCAGTTCAACGTTTAAAGATTTTACTTGCATCGTATATTCATTGCAGTAGTTTTTATACCTTTGTATTGATCTATCTCAACCTGACATTCGCCAAGGCGAACGGTGTGAGGGTCCTGGAAACGGGCTTGCACCCATACCCCTATAATTTTAAATTTTGCAGAGAGTTCAAAAGATTATGCGACACATTTGTTTTTTCAATAGCAATTCAATTCTTTATTGCTTCTGAGGTGTGTATGTCTGCTTTAATAAACTATATATAGGCCTATTTAATGTTGTGTACACAACATAGACAAAACACAACACAACAAAGACACACAAATAAATCTACAAAAGCATCGTATACTTTAAAATGACGAATGACGAAAACAAAATGAGCGAGTAACTTCTCGTCTTTTTCTATGTTTCTTCCATAGTTCAGTTTTCTGTTGGTTTTTACTGTCCCGTACAATATTAATTAGCTCCTCAAATTTGTTTCCAAAATGTTATTAGACGTTTAAGTGTCTGTTCTTTCTCTCACATGAACCGCAAAATGTAACTCTGAGGATAAATAACAATAAATAATAACAACAACAATACCGGTACAACATCACTCGCAATAACAATTATAATGATAACGATAATAAACTTTGTTTCAGGAGGTAAACACAATGCACATAATAAATATTATAGAGATTGTGGAGACATAAGATGGCCCAAGTTTTACACTGTAAGCTGTGTAAACATTTTGGTTGTACACCAGGTGAAGTTAGGCGAACTGAGAAAGCTCTTGTAAAATGCCACGAGATATATAAAAGCACTCTGGCATTTTAACCATTCAGACTGACCATGGATTAACAGGACTTTAAGATTAACAGTAAATGATCAATCTAGTATATCCATTTCGATACCTGAATTGTAGAAAAGAGGATTAGAAGATTGAGAAATAACATGCGATAAAGACTATAGAAATGCAGAAAAATGATCATAGTTCCAATCGTGATTGGAGCTTGGAAACACTCAGCAAGAACTTATGTATTTGAATTGATGAAATCAAGCTGAAAGAGGAGAGTCTTATTGCCGCTACTGTATAATTTACACATGGATAATCCAAGCTATATCTTATACAGTAGTAGATTTGGATGCCAGATGTTTAACAGCCTTCTTTGCTATGATCTCGTGCTCCTCTCCTCATCTGCGAATGTCCTTCTTGAGCTTATAAAACTGTGTGGGAAATATGCGAAACAGGGGCCGCAAAATATACAAAGAGGGAGCAAAATTAACGAGAGTTAGAGGGAGAAAAGATGGTAAGAAAGAAAGTGGAGGCATTACACATGAGTCAGTGGTGGACGTACCCAGCAGAATTTTTAACGCTCACTAGTTTTGAATTGTCTAATAAGTTGACGACGAACACCACGCTATACCCCGACTCTATTTTTTCAACGATTTTATAATCAGAATGTAAAATAGGCCAAAAAACGTTTTTCAGCCATTATTACGGAATGTAGCATCCGGCTAGAACAGCTATCCTTGCGAGCTCAGTGGCGTAACGCCTGCGTTCTCGTGTGGCGGTCCGCAGGGCCACCAACCCTTAAGGCCTGTTTATACTTCAACGATAACGATAACGATAAAAAAGCTGAAAAGCAATTGTTCATATAGAAAATAAAAGAAATAAGGGAAGTTTTTACATTAGAAACATTTGATAACGATTTATCAGTTATGCGATAACAACATATTTTGACAAATCAAATCAGATGACGTCATAATCATGGAAAAACATTAAAATCGTACCAGTAGTAGCAACGATTTTATCGTTTTACCATGATTATGACGTCATCTGATTTGATTTGTTAAAATATCTTGTTATCGTATACACGATAAATCGTTAACGAATCGTCCAAGTGTAAAAACTTCTCTTATTTCTTTTGTTTTCTTTTTAGCATTTTTATCGTTATCGTTATCGTTGAAGTATAAACAGGCCTTTAGTGTCCTCTCTATAGCACCCTGATCTAAAAGGGCTTTGTTGATATAAAAGCATAAAGTGTCTCTGACATCGACTGTGGTGACATACTGTATCATATTAATCAAATGGGAATGGGGTGCCAAGCAGGCCAGGCAGGACCCGCTACATTTTTCAGAATTATTTTTTTTTAAATGGAGATAAAATATTCAAATTTTAAGTCTGAATGAGTTCCATTTTCGGGAATTTAGAGCTGTCATAATCATAATTTTCTTTCCGACTCCCTAAAATAGACTATAGATCCCCGACTACACCTTTGCGACGCCTAAGAGTAGGGTTGTCTAAGGGAGGGTAGCATAGCTTCCGTCTGGAAGAAGCCAATCATTTTTTATAGGAGGAACACCTCTTTGGAAAAGCATTTTTATCATCTGAGGATGCCATTTTCGATCGTCTAGGGGCCTATTCTTAATATTTGTTCACCTCAGCCTAGCCTGTGTTCCAGGCCCTAATTTTTTGTTACTCACTCATTATGCGTTTAGTGCGCGTCCTACCTAATTTATTTGGCCTCCCATACTTAATTTCTTTTTTTAACAGATTATTATTATTTCGTCTCAAAATTAACTTGCTCGTTGGTGGCGCTGTCCAGAATGCGAATAAAAGACTTGTGGCAAGTCTAACCTCAGCCCCAACCATGGTGGGGCTGAGGTAGGTGTGGACTACCTATTGGACCCACCGTCAAAACAATTTTGGATCCGTCTCTGCTAAAAATAATGATATAATTTATAACTCTAACAAATCTGTTTGTAGGCCTATGCTAATCAAACAAATTTTACTGAAATTAAATTGCATGATGTGCCACCAATTTACTTTGTGGGAAATGGTGCTGAAATTTGTTGAAAATGTAATTACCTCTACTTTTAATGATAAAGAGGATTCATCGTCAGTGTGTGTTAGAGGTAATATTTTAAGCAGAACATTTACCAAATGTTGAAATAATGTAAAGTGTCTGATTTTTAGGTACTTTTTTTGCATCAATATGTATTGTTCAGTACTTTGGGCTCAATTTAATAAGGCTACAATGAAACGTTTGCAATTATGTTACAACATTATAGGATTTTGCTAAGATTACCGTGTCACAGTATTACAAGTGGTATCTGTGTTATCAGTAATATAACATCATTCTATGAATATGTTCTTGTGTCTGTGTTTAGGTTTAAGCAGCGTATACTTGCCCCTGCTTGTTTCAACTATTTTGTAATAGGTTAAATGTGTTAAGCGAGTCTAAATTGTATGACAGGTGAAACTAATTTTTGTACGTTGACGGTTCTGGTTAATTCTATCTTATAGTTTTTCTATGTTGCATAATACGCCGAGGGCGAAAATTGTTCACATATTTCACGGTAAAATTTGTTAACGTAAATTGCGTTAACATAAAACTTTAATTACCCTGTTATTAATATATAAAAAATATACTGTGTAAAATTACGTCATTTTTTATTATGCACATAATTAATTCACGGTATATTTATTCAAAAAATATAAATATATGCATTAAAATTATTCTATTGCAGCAGAAATTAAATTGCAGACATACATTGCACTAATACAGTACTACATTGTTTTAAGTTTAAACATTGAATTATAGTACATTGAACAAATCATTAAAATTATTAAAGTTATAAATTGTTAAAATTACCAATTATCATCTTTTTTGTGGACAAAATTTTAAGAAAATCCAAGCACGGAAAGTGGCCAAAGTGATAGATGGATAAACCCTGTGCAAAAGCATAGAAAAACACATAATGAATACGACACCGTACCTGCATAGGATTTCTATTCCTCGAAACATATATCGTCGTATTTCTCGCGATAGTATTCGCAGCTAAACTGTTGTTGGTCCTCTATCGATTCTATGAAATATTTCAAAGCCTTTAAGTGATCACACGCAATACTGGGAAATCTATACCACTCTGTGTATAAAACAATAATGATAGTGATAATAATACTGATAGTGTGATAATAATAATAATGATAGTGTGATAATAATTATATTGATGATAATAATAATGATGATGACGACAACGATGATGATGATGAGGAGGATAATGATAACGATAATAACAATAATGTTGCTGATTATTATTTTTATGACAATCTAACAGAAAGTGCTCATTCTTCTACTACGGAGCTTTTGGGCGAGTGGAATGGCCGAGCGGTAAGGCAGGCCGCTAGCTACAGAGGGGCATGGGGGCACTTTACCCGTTTTGCCACTAAATTTTATAATTACAATGCAATATCAATGTTATAATATTTAAATTAGCGCTATAACTTCTATCCTAAAAATGTTGTTCCCCCCCCCCCCCACTGTTTGAATAATTCTGGATCCGCCCCTGGCAACTCGTCGCTCGGTTGGTAAAACCAGGTCTTCTCGGATAAGAATAATGAAGTCCAGCGTACACATTTGGCTCGTGTGCACCTCAAAAGACATTGATCTTTCGGAAGAGTATGGGATAAATTATATGGATACTAACCACATCCAGGTTGATCTTCTCCACCACTTGGATAATAATCTACGTCTCCGACTGAATGATTTATACCTAGAAAAAATATAGATAGGGTAAGGCCTACATTCGATCAAGCCAGTGTTATTTTGAAATGGAACTTATGTGTTTCCGAAGAACTGCGGAAAATGCACAACAGATAACAATGATGATAATAATATCGTATTGATACTGATATTCAGCTAATGATATTGATAGTGACAATGAAAAAATCATGAAAAAGAAAATCATAATCATGATACTTGTATCACATATCCCCAGTGTCGGCGCTACTGGGGGCGGGGGTGCTAGGGAGAGAAAAAAATTCAAAATAAATATATGTATTTTGTACATATTAATAGACTCTAAAATCGATTAAATAAGCCTTTGAAACACCTAAATTGTCATATTTTCGGGGGGCTACGTCCCCTGGACCACTTTTGAAAGGTTATTAACAACGCCTGACCACGCCCACTTTTTTCTCGTCGATGACATCAGCACCCCGTCGGGGTCCTTGGACCGTCCCATCGGGGAAATCCTGGCGCCGCCACTGCATCTCCCTAACATTCTAAATTCAGTTTTTAGACATAAAGGCTTTAACTGATTTTGGAAAAGTATTTACCCCAAAGATTGGCGTCGGTATGAATGATATCCACGTAAGCAGCATCTGTATGATCCAGTCTTCGATATATGTTTTCATCCTCGAATCCAGGTTTAGCTGGATCTAACCCTGCCGTAAAGAATTTGTCTATAAAGCTCTCATATCTATTTTGATATACCTATGTATTTTTAAATAAATATGGCACAATTATTTTGACTATATATAGTGCCTTTTTCAGTTGTATGAAAAACAAAATGTCTGGCGGGATTCGAATCTACAGCCGCTTGCTGTCAAGGAGAGTATCATACCCATGAGACCTATAGGATATCATGCAGTTCTAACCCTCCAGGCACTTTCTATCTTACAAATGACTGAAACGCTCACACTTAGTGGAGCTGTGGTTAAGCTATTAAAGCTGGAAA